CCTTGTCTTGTTGATCCCATATTGTTCAACTAGTCTGTCAAATGGAATAAATTCTGTTCCCTCTAATATATGTTCTAAGTATTTAATTCCTTTACAACTCCATTCTGGGAAATTAATCATATTATTGTTTTGTAATATGTCAGGGTTATTCCAGATAGGTGTACGTTTACATGGTAATAACGTTTAACATCCATACAACTGTAAGCCTTTCACATCCAGAGGAAGTTAGCTCCATCTTTTCTGTACAGTCTATAGGCGTTACCGATTCCACGTTGCACCAAAAGTGACTCATCTTCAAAATATCTGCTTCTGTTCCCACGTTATGGCCAGACTTGTGTTTTTTCATTTGATGTTTAATGATCTGAACACACATTTGTGTCACTTTCTTTCATAGGCGTTATTCAATCTGAGCAGTTTATCTTTTAGTCTGATCCAGATTAGAAGAAGTCCCTGTCATGATCTGACTGAGTGGCTGGTGTTTTGTGGGCGGAGCCTTGGTTCCTTACCTGTTCTGCTCACCTGCCATCCAGTCAGCGAGGCAATACTTAAGGCCAGCGCAATCATGCACTCTCTGCGATTTTATCAGCTACCTCATGGAGGTAACCCAGCCTCGCTGCGTTGTAACTTTATGTCTGTTCTGTACTAACCTTGATTTAACTGTTTTCAGTTTCTCCACCACAACACTGCTTAAGTGACCTGCGGCTCAATTCTCACTACATCGCTACCTTCCTCTCGGAAACTAAACCTTTCCCCGCTCTCACCCTCCTGCCCGCCCTCACCCTCAGTTTCCTGGAAACATCACTCGATCACACACCTCTTGTACCCCACGCTCACCACCTACAAGTAAGCCTGCGAGTCCAGTATTCACCTTTTCTCCCCGCTCAGCATCATACACCATCTTCACAAAACTGTTTGGTATTCTTTAATAACTTTTGGTGATGTTTGCTGCTTCATTCAAAAGACTAATAAGCCTGAATTGCTGAAAATCATATCATATGATCACATACAGTACACGATGCTATCTGGGTTCTTTTAAATAAAGCACAAACTTATCAAACTTGGACATCCAGCGGCTCTCTCCCATATCTGTGTAAACATCCCCCACAGCACAGAGAAATAATATCACATTAACAAATGAACAGTATTGCTGACTGTACATTCATAATAAAACTTTATGATGACAGTATGTAACATTCAGATTACTACACCTGCTGTTATGTGACAAACTCCACCTGTTTGGGCCTGCTTGGCCTCTGTATAGGAGAATATTTGGATCCTGGTAAATTGTCTATTATTGCAGTGACAGCGTCAGGTTTTATTTCCTGTTCTTTGAGGTTAGCCGCTCTCCTCCTCTCAGCTCCTCCTCTTCTACACTCAGAGCCGCTCCGTTTTTTCTCCCATCCGTTCTGTTTCCTGTCTCCTCCACCTCTCCTCTGCTCTGAGCCGCTCCTCCTCCGAAACCCGCCCATCCTGTAGTCCCACACATCCCCCTTCCAGGCAACCTCATTACAGTCGCTGGCAGTGTGTTGAAGGCTGGTGGCGGCACCTTGGACAGGGTTGCGGATGTTTCCTGATGCCTGCATTCTCCTCAGGTGGCTGTTGGTCCGCACAGGGCTGCTGAACCTTTGGGCTTGTGAGCCCCTGTCTGAGGAGTGCACCCGGCTCTCGCTGTAGCTCCTTTTCGGGAGTATTTTGGGCTCTAGCGGAGCACTCGGCCTGGACTGGCGGTTGTGGCTGTAAGTCGAGCAACAGCATGGCGCAGTACAGCGGGAGCAGCGGATCCGGCAGAGAGTGCAGGCGCAGCCGGAGAGGAGGGCGGAGTGACTAGCCAGGGAGGAGAGGAAAGTGAGGGGGAAGGCACGCTGACACTGGAGGATGCACTTGGGAGAGCTGAGACGTGATGTGGCGGCAGCAGGGGACCTGTGACAGCTGGATATCACTTCTGATACTGCCGACTTCCCACTCTCATCCTGGACGGTCTGGATCTGACGCCACTCCAGCTGCAGCAGCTTCTCCAGATACCTTTCCAAAGGGCCCACAGGCCTGGGCCGGGGGGTACCTCGGCCTTCCATGTTGTAGAAAACAGCCAGCTGACTCAGGCTCCACGAATTAAAAGGTGGAGGGAGGAAGTCTGGGAAGTCAAAACCTCCATGGCCCTGCAAATTGGATCTGTGGCTGCGAGAGGAGCAGTCCTCGGCCTCGATGACCTCTGGCCTGAGCTCGAGCCGAGGAGGAACGCGACTGCAGGCTGACACAGGAAGTCTCTCTGACTCAGACAAGTCGGTGTCGCTGTCATCATCTCCATGGCGACTCAGGCGTCTGACCTCCAGTTCTGGCGAGTGTCTTTCCAGCTGCTCAGTGCTGCAACCACACGTGCAGTGGTAGGAGACGGCTGCTGTGTGTTTGCCCTCTCTGCTCCCCGCATGCTTGTGCTGTCTGTGGCTGGAGCGCTTAGTGACCGGCAGCACCTTTGGCTCCATCCTGCCCTCTGTGGGGGACACTGGAAGAGCCTTTGACTCTGAGGATCTGTGAGCGCTGCAAGGCAAAGCAAAGCTATTATCTGAGCACTGAGACAGCAGCGAACAACACAAACTTTGCACAAACCTCACCTGTGTTGAGAAGTATTGCGTTTAGCTGAGGAGTTGTTAGACTTGTGCTTTCTTCTTTGTTGCAGCCTCTGCAATTACAGACACATTATGTTCAACTTATCACTTAAACATGGTCATGGTAATGTTATTACCATGGTAATGTTATTACCATGGTAATAAATTGGAACTTGTTGACATTTTGCCTGATATAAATAGTGCACTATTGTGCCACAGAAATGTGTCATTATGTGGAATAAAGGAAAAAATAGCGAGATGTAAACGTGTAGGTGTTACTTTAACAGCAGCTCTGTATCTTGTATGAAAGCAGTCACTATTTAATGTACCATCACTTAAAACAGAACTGGAACACCAGCTAATTTGACTGATCTTGTGTGTGATACAGTGATCCGAGCCCGTTCACTCACTTTCTCGCTCTTATTTTCCTGACTTGGGAACGCGTGCTGCGGCGGTGTGGGCTTCCTCTGAGACTGCCGCCTTCCCATTATGTTACTTGAGAGAAACAAACAAATCTTCCGAGTTAAATGTGACCGATGAAACACATGAAATGTAGAAACAGCAGCACAGGGCAGACATGGCGCTCTTCTTTGTTCACACACGTACACAGTGAGCATTTACACATCAAAGTGCAGTCACACACCACCGACATCCAGCGTCTGTGGCGCCGCCGAGGACGCGGCAACAAACAGCAGCCATGTCTTCATCCGTTACCACCGTGTAACCCCAATAATAAGCATATCTGGCGGTACCTGCCCACGTTAGGCCCGGCGATGCTCCACAGATCCTTCTTCCATTTCCTCTCCCTGCTGGAAACCCTCTCGGCACACCGCTGTGCCACTTGCTCCTGCAGAATGGTGCCCATCCCAGCTTCCAGCGGGCACCAATGAAATGGGCGAGTGAGCTGTTCACGCGAAACACGGTGCTGTGATCATAATGAGTAGTGGGCTGAAATGAACCAAACACAACTGTGTTTAGGTATGGATCCCTGTGTGCGATTCACCGGCCGCCCAGCAGAGGGCAGTGGGGCTCACAGACGGAGCACGCACGGTTAATGTGCTGCTGAGTGGTTCATACATGTACCGGCAGCTTAAATGCCTCCGTGTATTTAAAATAAACTAAATGTAGCGAGCTGATCGACAGCTTTACCAGTCCGACCCACTCAACATGAAATGTGCTCTACATTACCTGGAATGAATTTGACACCTTTGGTTTATACTGAGGACAATCAGTTCAATGATTCACAAGAGAGAGGACCCAATGCACACACCAGAGGGCTAAACAATGAATAACACATCAATAAATGTAATGGGGGATGTGCAGGAACCTGGATCAGAGCATTTGACTGTTTCTTCTGTGACTTCCTTGAAAACTTAGTGTATGAAGGTACAAAAAAATAAAATATGCTAAACTAAATGTAAAATATACTCAGTTCATACCAGATACCTGCTATCTGAGTTTATATTAGACAGTTTATCCAAGAGAATAAATTAAATGTATGTAACGCACACAGAGGTTCTAGGTCTGACCAACCGTCTCGGCCGTGGGAAAAAGATGACAACCAATAAAATTCTAAAAGATAATTTATTAGTGCAATGATCAAAAATTGGAAGGATAACACAGTTCAGTTTCCCACTTGCAAAAGAGATTAAAAAAATAATAATAATATAAGGCCATAGACAGCAATGCGTCAAGTCAGTTGGACTTTACGTGTCAAACACTTTATCAGCAGTTGTCCCCCAAGTCTCACCCCCCTGTAAGTAGAAGGCCAGTAATCACTCCAGCCTCAGCAACCCAACGCTGCCTTTAGACTGCAGCAGGCCCAGGCCTGCACAGAGAGACAAGATGTCACCACATCTTCATTATACAATTCACAGAGCAGCAAACTATCCATCATAACACATTTAAATCAAGTCATCTTAATGACACACCTGCACAGAGAGACAAACGTCACAGCAGTGTTTGTAGTGTGGACTATAAGTAGACTAGAGTATCAGAGAAATCAAATACACCTGCCTTCAATTAATCCAACCCCATCACAGCAAATGTGACACACAAAACCACCAGTGCAACTTCCTACAACAAACATGGAGGTGACATTAGTCCATCATGTTACATGTACTTTAGTAAATACTAAAAAAATATATATTTAGCTCAGATACTTAGTTGGTATCGACTATTTTCCTCGTGGAATTGTTTAATATTTACTGTATATTTACTTATTGTTTTGCAAGTATTGCCGGTGTTGTGCCAAAGTAGTTACCCCCGTCAAACAATTTTTGACGGGGGTAACTACTTTGGCACAACACCTGTTCCAAAATAAAGCTTTTAACAACTACACAGAAGAGGGCAGCAGCTCCCCACAGCGGCCACTGCGGCTGCCGCCGTCTACGAGAGGAGAAGAAGACTTCGCTTCTTCGCAGGGACCAGCGCGTCTTCTTGTCCTCCAAAATGTCCAAGTTACAGCAGCTCAGACTCTTCGTGAATGAGCGTCTGACAGCAGCAGCGGAGGAAATCTTCGGCGCCGTGGAGAGAACCATATTAGAGTTTCACACTGACAAAGCTTTTGTGTCCCAGTCAGAAGATGTGAAGCCCAACGAGCTGCTAACGCTAGCCGAGGCTCTGAAAGCGGAGGAGGAGGAGGTGTTCCCGGCAGGTTGGTCTATTATCACCATGCAGATAAGCAGGCTGCTGTCAGCCATCAGACCCGTTTTAATGTGCGTGTAGCCTGGGACTACAGTCAGCATAGACTGCAGTCACAGAGCTGATTCTCTTAAGGCGGACGAACCAAATAAGAAACAGCGTTTTTCCCATGCAGCGGTTAAATGCACCGTTTTAGGTTCAGAAGAGTAGAGAGTGACACAAATACATATTTAGGCGTTCATGGTGTTCTCTATTAATTAAACCTCATTTGTATATCAAATTTCATAAAGGCTGTAATGTAAACATATTTTAATTTAGGCAATTATCTATATATTTATTTAAGCATATATGACTCTGTATTAGCGGCTTTACAGAAGTTAAAATAAATAACTTAGTTCCTTTAGATTTCTTTTTGAGGGGACATTACATCATAGATTGGCCTTCTTGTTTTCAGTGGTGATGGACAGTTTGACATATGAGCTCAGCGACGTCTCTCTGGACGTTGATGTTCACAGGTGGAGGTGTGCTTTGGAGAGGAAAGGAGTAAGAGTCAACAGAAGCAACACCGTGTGTAAAAGAGAATGAGATGGGTGGAAAAGTGAAGGTGCAAGCAATAGATGTAGTGAAGATGGATAAGTTTAAATATGTGGGTCAACTATACAAAACAGCGTTCACTAGGGAGGTGAAGAAGAGAGTGCAGGCAGGGTGGAGTCGGTGGAGATGGGTTAAAGGGTCTGATTTGTGATTGAAGGACAGCAGCAATAGAGAAAGAAGGCTTGTAAAGAAAGCTGTTATAAGATATGTTTGGAAAAACGTTTACGTACCAGGGAAATAATAAAAAAAATACTTAGCAGGTCTTAAAATTGGATAAATGTGACTTCAGATGAACAAAAAGACTTGACATATTACAGATGTGTGTGGAGATTCTTGGTAGTCTGAAGAGCTAGAAAGGCTTTAAGTCTGCAGCCATTTACAGTTAAAACACGCACTGTTGTAAAGAGTGGATTCTTTCTAACACGTGATTGTTCTGCTGCCTACCAGCTTCATGGGTTACTGGTAGGTAGCATAACAACAGCAGTCACTCCAGACATGCTCGCAAGTGTATGGGACACGTTGGACTATGATATGGACATATGCTATGCATCCTAAGCACTTGTCAACATTGCAAGTTTTGTAAGTAAAATGATATATTTAGCCATGAATTAAAACATTTACCACAAGCTTCCATGTCTATCACTTTAAACAGTAAGCCTTTTGTAAATGTTTGCCAGTGTCATATCTTTCCCTGTCATGTCTGCAGGCTCCCACCAGGTGAGTGTATCCGAAGCAGAGGTCTCCACACAGACAACATATGCTCAGGCCAGTCAGCTGTTGGTGAAGCAGGACACACTGAGAGCAGACTTTCTGGTAAATCAGGAACACTGGCCGAGAGGAGACAAAGGCCAGCTGCAGGATCTGTTACACTGTGAAGCTGTGGCTTGTTTCAAATCTGAGCAGAGCGCAGGGTCCCCCTCCTCATGCTTTCAGAGCCAAAGTGTGGCAAGCACACAGGGAGTAGTGCTTTTCCCCCATGCCTCAACAGAGTCTAGAAAAATTAAGCAGGAAGCAGATGGATGTGGAGGATCGGATTTCTGCCAGCCCATCTCCTCAGATAGTGGGGCTGAAAATGATGCCTGTGATAATGAAAGGATGGAGAGCAGAGCATCCAATTCAAAGACAGTGCAGCCAAAAACAAAGGCAAAGCAGAAGCAGAAGAGTTCCAGCTTAAGCACTAAGAAAAGGACAAGTCCTTTCTGTTGTAAGCTCTGTGGAGAATCTTTCTGCCACAGGAATTCATTGATGATTCACCTGAAAACACACGGAGACTGTGCGCTGCAGCACATAGAAACACACAAGGAGGACAATCTGTGTCACGTCTGTGGCAAAACATTCACCACAAAGACCCATTTAAAAAGGCACATGCTGATCCACACGGGTCAGAAGCCTCACTGCTGCAAGGAGTGCGGCAGGAGATTCGCACGAGGCGAGTGTTTGAGAGTGCACATGAGGATCCACACAGTGGAGAGGCCGTACACATGTGGAGTGTGCGAGAAAGGATTCAGACAGAGAAGTAATCTAATTACTCACATGAGAAAGCATACGGGAGAGAAACCTTACCGCTGTGGCATCTGCTCAAGACCATTTGCATACAAGAAGGACATGCTGAGACACACGCAGATCCACACAAAGACGTGAAAAACTCAGTCCACCGGGATGAGCTTTGGTCTAGTACTTCTGAGTTTAACTTGTTTGCTATTATAAATTCTTTTCCTTTTGGTTAAGTGTGAAAAAAGAGATGGTGAGTGTGTGTGTATTAATAGAGCAAAGTGCATTTTCAAAATGCTTGTTGTAGATTGCAAGGGCTAGGCAGTTAATCCCATTTTAACCTCCTTTACTACTACGACTTCCAACAGTACTAAAAAAAACAAAAACCCACATTTCATAAATATTAAAAATAAGCGTCTGCTGCTGCCTGGATGTATTCATACCTGTCTGCATGGTCAGACATCTCAGTTGAGCTAACAGTTCTGAGTTATTTAACCCCGAGTTTCTGTTCCAGAGTCGACTTCAGTTCTGAGTCAGTCACGAGGGTTATTTCCTCACTATAAATCCAAGGGTTTTTCTGTTTTTATACACATGGATATATCTATCCATAGATGTAGATATATCTTTTCATGGGACAACACTGAAGTTATGACACTTTGATACAATGTAAAGAAGTCAGTGTACAGCTTGTACAACAGTGTGAATTTGCTGTCACCTCAAAATAACTCAACATACATCCATTAACGTCTAAACTGCTGGCAACAAAAGTGAGTCCCCCCCTAAGTGAAAATGTCCAAACTGTGCTCAAAGTGTCATTTTTTTTGTGTAACCACTGGTCTCATCAGACCACAGGTAATCCATGTCCTTAGTCTGCTTGTCTTCAGCAAACTGTTTGCGGGCTTTCTTGTGCATTATCTTTAGACGAGGCGTCCTTCTGGGACGACAGCCATGTGATGCAGTGTGTGGCGTGTGTCTGAGCCACTGTCAGGCTGGTCTTTGACACCTTCTGCAGCAATGCTGGTACTCACTTTTGTTGCCAGCGGTTTAGACGTTAATGGCTGTATGTTGAGTTATTTCAGGTAAAAGCAAATTCACACTGTTGTACAAGCTGTACACTGACTACTACTACTACTGTATCAAAGTGTCATATCTTCAGTGTTGTCCCATGAAATATTTACAGAAATGTGAGGGTGCACTCAATTTTGTGAGCTATATATATATATTTTATTTTCTTCTCCCCTCCTGCTTCTTAACATAGCCATCGTGATCCACACTGACACGGTGATATTCCTCAGTCCACTGGATTCGAAGTGAGGCTGTGCTTTCTTGGAGAATCTTGGTGTCAGAGCTCCTCTGATGATGGTTTTCTTTCTGTACTCATAAATGTGCTCAATCCCATCCTGAACATACTCACAGTTGTATTGAACTAACTGGTCAGCTCTTCTGGAATGAGAAGCCCAGAGTTATTGACATCAAATTTAACCAACTCACTTTATTTCTAAACTCAGATTTTGCTAAACATGCTTCCCAGAATAGGGCTTTGGTTGGGTCTTCCAGAGCCCTATTCCGGGAGCGCGTTAAGGAGAAGCCCCCAAAGTCACGGAAGCGATCGTTTACCGTCTGTGTGAACCCTGCTTCTCGCCTGTAGGTTCTTATGGACTGTAGGAAAGTCTTCAATGTTGCTGTTGGAAGAATTCAAATGTTTTCGTGTAGCTGAGGATGAGTGCAGTTCTTTGAACTCTGTGGTAGCTCCTACCTCAATGCTTTTTCTCTCAGTATATGAGGTATAAGTGTGTCCAATGATTGACTGAATGGAACATGGGCAATCGCTAAAATGTTTGCATTGTAAACAGCATTTGTTTGAAAAAATGATATCAGTCCAATCCAATCCAATTGTATTTATAAAGCACTTTAAAATACCCAGCACAGGAACAAAGTGCTGTACAGAAAATAAGCATTAATAACATGAAGTAAAGCTCTAAGAATCTTCTTAAACCTGAGCCTGTATAAGAACCTGAGCAAAGCTGTCATCTGTCTGTTGTGAGTTACTTCTGTCAGTTTGAAGATCCCTCTCAAAGTACTGTAATCAGTTAAACTTGCAGTTACATTTGACTTATACTGCTATAAAATAAGGACACAAATGCACCTTAATTTGCTGTAGCGTAGATTTCCATATTCTACAGGTTTTCCCACATATAACGTTTAATGTAATAAAAACATTATCAGACTTAATTGCATGCTCCCCTTTCACCACAGTTAGTGGTCAGAGTTGGGTCCATAGTTTTTGGGGGGCATACACCGTTTTTGTAGTTTTGCTGATATACACAGCTGTTTAAGTCAGAATATGTGATTGAAGTGCAGACGTTTAGCTTTAAAACAAGGGGTTTAACAAAAGTATTGCATTAACTGTTTAAGAATTACAGCCTTTTATTTTCTTTCTTTCTTTTCTTATTCATAGTCCCCGATTTTTTGAGGCCCAGAAGTAATTAGAGAATTGACAAGTAGTCAGACATTACTAATAAGAAATTCTAGCGTGGCTTTAGTGATACACTTTGGGTCATTATCAATTTGCACTGTGACACAATCAGTTTTGCAGCATTTGGCTGAATCTGAGCACAGATTGTAGCCCTGTACACTTCAAAGTGCATCCTGTCAGCTACTACTTCTATCAGCAGTCCCATCATCACACAATAGAGAGCTGGTTCTTTGAGCACTTTGTGGTAAACGCTCTGTGTTTTCATTGATCACCTCGACAGTGACACACCTACCTCATCAAGAGTGTTCTTAAGTTTGTTAGATGTGAAGTTTCTTAAACCACATCTTTGAACTAAAATTATAATGAAAATCTATGAAATCCAAATTCAACACCTTGAATCAACTTATATGTTTTCCTCATTTGTGACAGAGTATCGGGGAAAGTGACCTAACCTCACCTAAGTTAGTTTTGCCTCTAAAAATGGGGGACTATGAAAAACACAGGTAATCAATCATTGTTAAATGTCTGTTATTAAATCAAAATCCAATATTGATTGATTTAAAATCCACCATGGTGGTATAAGGCGGAAAAACTGCAAAAATTATCTTTTTCTAACAAACGATAGCCCTAATCCCAACTGCCTCTTTCCAGAACGCCATCAAAACACCATATTTAAATGTAATTAAATGGTTTAAGATGATGCAGGGATGCTGTTTGAGTGAATGAGATCCTTTAAATAAACATCTAATGATGTCTTTTGTTGAAAGAAAGTGTATATGTGCTTTTCAGGCATTAAAATGCATGTAAGATGTTGCTGAATAAAATGACATGTTTTCTGTAGACAATCATGTACAGTGCATTAATCAAAATAAATGTAATGTGCCTAAGGTTCCTCAAAATCCAGACGTTACATTTGTTATATTTTAAAAAAAAAAGACTGAACACAGAAGAATTACATCAATCTGCAGATGTTGGTTGTGCAGCAGTTTTAATTCGTAACCAATAATTGTTATTGGAAATGCTACATTGCAAGACTTTTCTGACCTAATGTAAGCCATATTAGAAATTAAAGATGTATTAAAATAAAAACCCTTTTAGTTAAATCACAGTCCACTCACTGAGCTAGCATTCACCATTTGTGTAGATCAGAACAATCCTCATTACAGCGTGGCTCAAGGCTCTGTTACTGATTATTCAACATGTTAGACATACTTATCAGTTAGCATATTAAGGCACGTACACTTTTAATGCCAACATCCTGGTATCGCAGTGTGTTTCTCTAGCAATGTCCACATGTCTACCTGAGTCTGCCCTCTTACGGTCTTCTTTCTCCTGTGATATCACCTAATACTCAATGGTCACTGCCTTTGTCTTCAGGTATTCGTTGAGAGCGTCTTGTCCTGGTGGAGAGACAAAGATACTGATAGTAAGCACAAGCACCAGTCACCTATTGGTCACCACAGGGTTGAGTGCACTGGCTCAAAGCAGATACCAGTGAAGACTATGGATGTGAATGATTAGTTAGTACTACTAATGTTTTAGTAGTACTATCTACTTCTATCTTACTGAGTACTGATTTGTGTCTGTGTGTTACAGACACAGAGTTTGTGGATGCGGCTAGCTAACTAAGCATGGTGGTATCCGCTGATAACATTGCACTCCACCCTACTGTGCTAATATGGTGTCTTTAGTATGTGAAGCTCAAACCCAATGGATGACATCACAATGTCCAGCTTTTATATATGGTCTATGATGGCAATACAGCATAATGTTGTAACTTTTATGGAACAAATGGGAGAAGATGAAAAAATGGCAGTTTGAATGGAATCAGAAATAACAGCCTCTTTCTATTACCATACCATTACCAAAACTAGTTCATGCATTTATTACTTCCAGGCTGGAC